CCCTTACCCTTACCCTTACCCTTACTTACCCTTGCCCTCCCCTTCTCTAACCTCATACAACCAACCAACCAACCAACCACCCCCTTCAACTACTTCACCACCAACTTCCACTTCCCAAACCCTAAGAGGCAACGCCTGCTCTTTCTGGAAACATCTCTCACCACCACCACCACCACCACCACGAACCAGGACCACCTCTGTACGACCAAGCTATTCCTTATACGTCATCCAACCGTCTGGACTTCAACTGCACTGCAATCCACCAACAAGCAGAGCAAAGCAAATAAATTTTCACCAACTACAAAACTACAAAACTACAACTACAACCACACAAGAGCAGACAAGAGAAGGCCTAGACACACTCACATCACAACCTTCCAAGCAAGCACCAGGCAAGAACCCAATCTGAACCCAAAGAAGAACGACCACAACGGTTCTCTTTATATCACTTCATATCATATCATTCACCTTACCTTACATCTTTCCCATGCTATGCTGCTAAACAATTGCCAAATACCATTCCTCTCTCTCTCTGACAATTGGGCCCCTTCTTCCACTACATTCAAAAACTATATAAACTCAACCTGCCAGGTCCTTACCTTACGTTTGCCAATTGTCAGTTTGCATTGGGTTGGTTCATTGATTAATTGATTGTTTCTTCGTTATTACTTGCAATTGTCAAAGACAAGACTAGCAAACTCTTATAAATTTTATTTCAAGAAACATGTCCAAGGTATTTTTCGATGTTGAAGCTGATGGTCAACCATTAGGCAGAGTTGTATTCAACTTGTACAACGACGTTACTCCAAAGACTGCTGAAAACTTCAGAGCTCTATGTACTGGTGAAAAGGGTTTCGGTTACGCTGGTTCTCCATTCCACAGAGTCATTCCAGACTTCATGTTGCAAGGTGGTGATTTCACTGCTGGTAACGGTACTGGTGGTAAGTCTATCTACGGTGGTAAGTTCCCAGATGAAAACTTTGTTAAGAAGCACGACAGACCAGGTTTGTTGTCCATGGCCAATGCTGGTCCAGGTACCAACGGTTCTCAATTCTTCATCACCACTGTCCCATGTCCATGGTTAGACGGTAAGCACGTTGTCTTTGGTGAAGTTGCTGAAGGTTTCGATGTTGTCAAGAAGGTTGAAACTTTGGGTTCTCCATCTGGTGCCACCAGAGCTAGAATTGTCGTTGCCAAGTCCGGTCAATTATAAGATGTTTCCAACGTTAGCTAGTTTTATATAATCTAAATATAAATATGTCTTTCTTTATTAATATATTATGATCCAATAGTAATAATATCCACAGTGTATGTTAAATCTATCATTGCTACTGGTTGATGAGATTGAAAAGACTCTAGTAGGAATTGAGTGGGGAGGTGGGAGGGGCAGTGACAGAGGAGACCAGTCAAATTGGACTAGTCCAATTGATCTGAATTTAGACATCGATTAGACTTTTATACCTGTACTAATCCTTGTCCATATCCATGCATTGGTGATTCCAGCGAAATATCCTGATATTACCCGGACTTCGATTTAGGCTCCCACCACGCTTTTGTCGGATTAATGAAAATATTCGATAGGAACTTGACACTTTTATATATATAATATATAAGAAGGTATACAAAAATCTATTAATAATGGTTGTATTAAATAATTGGATAGTGTGTGATCCAGCTGCATCTATAGCCTCTAGGAAGTAACTCATCTATTGAAAAGAATGGACTCACTATCAAAAAAGATTCAGAATTTAGGTATTCACGATTTTCGTAATGCCGGAAGATTTATGCAGAACATGATTGTTCAATATGAACCTTACCAAATTGATATTAGAAGAGCTACTAATACAGATGCCTGGGGTCCAACTACAAAACATTTGCAGAAAGTCATTAGAAATAAATACAGCGTCCCTTTGTATCTGATGACTGAGTACGTTTTGAAGAGAATTGTTGATCATCTGGCCAAGAGACCAAAAAACTTATATGAAAAGGCAAGAAAAGAATATGTAAATTACGGTAGTGAATGGAGAATTATCTTGAAATGTTTGATTGTCATCGAGTACTTGCTTTTAAACGTTTCTGAACCAGAAGAACTGAATCAAGTTAAAAGTTGTTTAGAAAATCATAAACAGATTTTTAATTCGAATATTTTAAATTACAAAATCGAATTCTGCAACGATGGTAAAATGGAAGTGCATGAAAGAGGTATACAGAAGAAATGTGAAGTTATCATCAATTTAGTAGATGATCCTGAATTTTTAAGGGAAGAAAGGTCGAAAAACAAGAAAAACATGATGAAAATTCAAAGATCAGGATCAGAATCATATCAAGGCTCTATCTCTTCATCTGCTTCTTCTTCATCCGCTGCAAATTACGAATACAATGCCAACGCAATGGACTCGATAGAGTTTGATTTAGAAGAACATACTTCCTCGTCTCCTTCAGTCGAGCCACAGCAAAGAAACCGCAGATTGTCAAATATCGAAGAACAAAGAAAACAGAGAAGAGAAATACTAAGAGAAAGAATCAAACAAACAGAACATCAACGTAAATTATCCCAAAACTCAAACCACGATAGTGACGACCTATTTAAAAACGATACAAACAAGATGGATAAATCTCAAGTTCAAGCAAACGAAAATGTCCCTGATCTAATAGATATGGATTTCGATACTACCCCATCCACAACACCTGCGGCCACTACAACCACTGCAACTACCACTACAACAACAACTGCTGCTGCCACCCAAGAGGATGATGCTGACGAGTTTGGTGACTTCCAGAGTGATGCCAACCCAACTAATAAACTCACAACCACTTCGTCAAATACAGATGCATTTGCAGACTTGTTTGCAAACTCAAAGTCTCTCATATAACAAATTATTAACATCTACTAAGTAAAACATAATATATATATGTATGTATGTATGTATATATATACATCACGTCAATATCTCACAATTCGTTTCGAATTTCAGCCTTGTTTGAACGAAAACCTCTAGAACTATGCAGTATTTTACTAATGCACCCGATGGGTGGATTGATTTGTAATAATATTTGTTCATACCAGGGTGCATTGTTAAAAATTGATAGAAGTTAGGTCTAGAGTGGTTGTTAGATTGATTTAATGGTTCATATTTGTCAATAAGCACCCTTTCTTTTAAGTTTTCGAAGTTGGTTGAGTTATTTCTTGAATTTGGTATATAAGAGTAATGATCTTTAGCTAAATCTTTAGATGAAGCAATGCCTGGATCGGATCGAGTAGAGATATCTTGTATATGTAATAAGGTAAACAGAAGTGTGTGTGCTTGTGTAGGTGTTATACGTTTTCAATATGAATTATTCTCAATCTGTTTATGCTACAACCGTTGAATCCTCAGTTTTTTCGAGTGATGATAAAGATTATAGTAACAAACTTAAAGAAATAGAAGATTACTATATACAAACCTTATTAAATGACAATGATCTAGCTCAGGATCAAATCGAAGATGAGGAAGACGATATTAGCAATGCTTCGAGTATAGGTTCCCCATTAGATATCAAGAATTCGTTTGCAAGTTTAAATTTGGATACTAGGATCTTAAATTATAATAATTTTAATACTTCGAAATCTGTAAATGTTCATAGCAATAATGATCACTCGAATAACAACTCAAACAAAAATAGTCTAGAGGTTAAAATAAATGATGAATATATTTTATCTTTGAATGCATTGCCATTAACAACAGAAAACTTAACTAAATTGGCATTCACTGCTAGTACAGATAACAATATTGCATTGCAATTCCCAAATCAAGATCAATCTCAATTTAAGTTCAAGAAAACTACAATTGAACCTGAACTAACACAACCATTGAATAAACAACTATTCAAAACGGAACTTTGCAAAACGTTTACCACAAAAGGTTATTGTAAGTATGGTAATAAGTGTCAATTTGCTCATGGTTTGCATGAAGTGAAGTTCAAATCACGTTCAAATAATTATAGAACTAAACCTTGTATTAACTGGACAAAATTAGGTTATTGCCCATATGGAGTTAGATGTTGTTTCAAGCATGGTGATGATAGAGACATCGAACTCTATAAAAAAGCTGGTCATATACCTATACCCATTGATCAATCAAATCCATTCCCAATGAAACAACATCAATTACATCAACATAAGGATGTTCCTCAACAGAATACTACTAGCTCTAGAAGGATAAATCTACACCCTAGAATTAAGGAATTACAGAAAATGTCCTGGTAATGGCATGCATTTATTATTCAACAACTAATTTTTACTCTCCTCATCGTAATAATAGTAACAATAATAAGAATAATAATAGTAATAATTATTATTATTATTCCTATCAATTATATCATCAATCATTATTTATTTATAAAAGGTACTACATACCTTTATGTCACTTATTTATCTAGATTAATAAATCTTAATTATAATATATACTATAATTCAGTTATAATCTATTTCTTCAATGATGGGATCTTTTGAACAGTCCGGAATTTGTCTTTAATAATGGAGATGAATTTGCTGGTAACCTACTTCGGTGTCCAAGGTTTGATGATGAACTTGGAATCACTCTACGTGAACCAGACAATCTGGAATTAGCTGTTTTAGAGGTTTCACCTGGTAATGGGAAGATTTTTCCGGAATACATATTATCAGATAAGTCATCAACTAATTCGTTAACCTTGATACCTTCCATATTACGTTGCAATAGATACCTTAATGAGTTAAACCAAATATTATGCCTTTGTCTTGTAGAACACGTAAATTTGACGTTACGCGATTCTGTCTTAACAACAATACTCTTATGATATAGACCAACAGGATATGGATTGTTGTCCGCAACACTTTCAACACCTAAAATGGCAACCCCTTTAGTTTTGTTAGCTGAAGGATTATCCAACACTGGATTGGATGATGACCAGTAAAGTGTCAAAGTATAAGGATGGATCCAGAAATACCTTTCATGTCTCGATTCACCACCAAATTTCCCTAGTCTTCTATAATATTTAAACAAATATTCACCAATGACGGTTTGAGTTAAGGCAGGAATCATGCTTGGCTCGCTAAATGATGCAATAGTTGGTAAAGATACAACATCATTCATTGTTTGAGACATGTATGCATGATTCACTGTACCACTTTCTATTCTTGATAGAACTGAAGCATCTGTATTGGACGGCGTTCTGCCATGGTAGCTACTATATTCAGAGTGATTACCATTTTTTGAAGATGACCTCGTATGAGATCTTGGATATTCTGAAGCTGGGCCTATTGGTGGAGGTGGTAAGAAGCTATTAATATTAGCCTCATTCGATGATATTGTCAATCCACGTTTTCTCACTTCTTGTTCTAGATCACTATTAGTGACGCCACTTAAAGAAACATCGTTTGTAGATAACAGCTGTTGATAGTATGAGGATGGTAAAACAACATCTTCATCTGGATTTGGAGTAGGAGCATTTGGTGTAGAAATATAAGCATTTTCTGGTACACATAATAGGCCAAAATTTTTAGCACTTGCCCTAACGTTACCAATGTCATTAATTGGCTCACTTACATTTCTACTTTGATTAGCGTATTTTTCAACCGGCTCTTTATCTAGAAGTTTCTCATATTCCTCTTCTTCTAATAATATTAAATTAAAGTTTGGAGCTTGATCGGCAATTTGTTCTTTTGTGATAATTGGATTTTGAATGGCTTTTTCCATTTGTTTATATTCTTTAGCATCTACAATAACTGAATCAAATTCAATCGCCCTTTCAGTTAACTGTTGTCTATTCAAAGTAGGGTATTCAAACTCATTTCTCATTAGGTTGAATTCATCTTTACTAATCGTTACCAAATCAAAATTTTCAGCTTCTGATATTAGTTCTTCTTTAGTGAGATTTCGATTTTCACCATTACCTTTTGTTGAGTTATATTCATCAGCATCTACTATAATGAAGTTATGTTGTGATGCATACTCTTCCAATTGTTTCTTTGATAAATCAGGATTCTTTAACTTTTCTTGTAATTGGCCATATTCAATTTGAGGAAGAAGAATTGAATCAAAAGCAGCTACCTGTTCTCTGAGTTGCTTCTCAGTTAAAACTGGGTTTTTTAATTTATTATTAAGTTCTTCATAATCATTACTTGGTAACACAACTAAATCATATTTTGGTGCCTCATTAATTATATTTTCTGCGGAAATTTCGGAATTATCTATTTTCTGTTTTATAGCTTTAAATTCATCTGACTCTAAAACAACACAATTGTACTTTGAAGCTTTGTCCTTTATACCATTTAAGTCTAGATCGGATTCTGCAGGAGTCTTTTCCTCAATTCGTTTTAAAAGTTCTTTATGTTCATCTTTGTTTACCAACATGAACCCCATCTCTTCTGCTTCGTGTGTAATTTCATCAAAAGAAAGCTTTCTCTCAATATTTGCTACTGTATTGCTTTCAAAATCTGCAGATTTACCCACAGTAGATTGCGGTGTTTTATATTTTAAGAGTTCATCTAGCGAATCTTCTAAACTAGAACTATCAACAATACCTTGTTTTGAACTCGATCTAGAACCATGGGATTCTTCTTGAACTGTTATTTTTTCGGTATATTTAGTCAACTTCGATAATTCAGAATTTACTGAATCTAATGATGCAAATTCGAGACCATTGTTTGGATTTTCTACAGCTAGAGTTAACTTTGTATATTCATCCCTAGTCAATACTATTAGATTAAAATCTGTTGCCAAATTTCTTACACCTTCTTCAGTAAGTACTGGTGCCTTATTTTCACTAATTCCTTCATCAAACTGGACTTGAGATCCAAAATTTTCTTCTTCCTTTATATTATTTAAATTCTTACTCAACAAATCGGATGTCAAACTTTCATCAGAGTGTCTACCTTCGCTGTCAGTAATTGCACTAGATAATCGATTAGAGGCAGATGATTTATTCCTCGAATGTGTCCTAACGAAGTCATCAGGATAGTCAAATTTTCCAGTATTTTCTAGAAAGCTTTGTCCTACAAAATCGTCATGTTCCTCTTTAGAGATAATAACCATTCCCAATTCAATAGCTCGCTGCTTTAAAAAAGGCAAATTTAGTTCAGATTCAGCTATTTTCATATCTTCTAACTCATCGATACGTCTCTCAAGATCCTCTTTATGCACTGTCAAGGTTTCCAACTGTAATTTTAATTCCTCATGATTACTCACTAGCACAATATGATCATCTTTTAGTGCATTATGAGTATCTTCAATATTATTGATATCACTTGATAAGTTTTCATTTTCTATTATTAAACGATCAATTGAGTTTTGTAATTCTAACTGCTTATTTTCTTCGTTATTTCCTTCTTTACTTTCTTTTTCAACAGCTCTAGTTTCTGGCATTGTCAATTCCTCAACTTTCAACTGTAATTCTTCATTCTGTTCTTTCAACTTAATACATTCTTTATCTAAATTGCTCCTTTCAGACATTTCAATGGTATATCTTTCTGTTGGTACTATTGAATAACCAAGCTGAGATATATTTTCTTGGATATTTGTAGGTGAAAGAAGACTTTCCTTAAATTCCTCCTTGATATTTTCCACTTCTTGTTCTGATAATAATTGATAGCCTCTCTTTTCAACAATATCCCTTAGTTCTGGAGTGCTAATATTATCGTAATCTGCTTTGATATGTAGTGAATTTAGTTCATTAATTTCCAAAACAGCCAAGTTCAGTAACTTTGCTTCTTCCCTAATTGACTCTTCGGTATAGATTGGAACTTTATCTCTGTTCAAGTCCATAAATTCCGTTTCGGTTATTAACATTAAACCAAGATCATTGGCCTTTTCTTCTAAATATTCTTTACTTAATTCATTGTTGTCAACATAATTATTTGTCGAAGGAGGTTGTGTAGAAACATTGCTATTTTCAGTTTCGAAGTTGAAGCTATCAATATTTTGATCTCTAGAACCATCAGAGAAAACTAATCTACCTGATGATTGTGATGGATTGGATACGATTGATTCATTTACTATATTGACTGAAGATCCTGATTTTGTCTCTTCACTGTTTACTTCGACATCAAGAGGAATTAGTCTATATCCAAATTCTAATGCCTTATTTTTTAGTTCCAATAATGAAAAATCATGTCTTTCGCTTTCAGCGTTATCTGTTACAGAATCTGACATTGTATTTATCGAGGCATCATCTCCGTCTTCTGTGCCTGTATTCTCTTCGGTGATGCTAGATTTGTCAGTTGCAATATCGATATTTTTTTTCAGAGGTGTTGACTTACGAATGAATGGTGATTCTGGTCTGCTCTCAGAAAGAAGTACGGATGATGAAGGTCTGGATTTATCAATATTGGCAGCGGCATCATAATATATAGATTGTGTTTCAGTAGATAATATTGAAAGGTTTGATTCATTTAATCCTCGAAACATTAATGAAGAGTTCTTAACTTTCCCTCTCGGCGAATCATATTCAGAAAGTCCGATTGGTGTTAGTTTCATATCAAATTTAGCTGCAAATTGCTTAATGTCATCATAGGTAAGACTATTTCTGAAATTTTTTCTTTTCAATAATTGCTTGTATTCATCTGTTGGTAATACTGTCAATTCAAAATTTTTAGCTCCGTTATAAATGTCTGTCTTTGTTAATATGTGATCTTTTTGGTTTTCCTTCAACTGCGTATATTCTTTGTTAGATAACGTCACGAAACCCATTTTTTTTGTCGAATGCAAAATCTTATCTTGGTGGTCATTTTCTTCACGAATAACTTGTTCAAAAAATTGTTTGCTAGCTAAAACTCTAGATGCTGGTGGTGTAGTAGATCTGGCAGATCTATTATTAATTTCATTAACCATAGAATCGTATGCGTCATTGGTTAATACTTTCATTGATAGTTTTTCAGCCATATTTTCTAAATCGAGTTTAGAAATATTATTAATTTTTGAATTTAAAGCTTCATACTCGACTTTTTTTATCACCATTAAACCTCTTTCGTCTGTATATTTTTCTATTACATCTTCAGTGGGTGATTCAATTTTAGATTGTAAAATGTCAAATTCTTCTCTTGGTAATGCTACATAACCAAATTCTGATGCAAATTTACTCATAGTCTCTTCATCTGGTCCCTTAATCAATTCATCGTATTTTCTTTGAGATAAAGGAATCAGATCGAATTTTGAACATAAATTTATAACTTCTTCTTTATTTATGTTAGTATTCGATTGTTGTGCCAATGTTTCATATTCAGTTGTCCTTAATAAGATGTACTCTCCATTGTTTATGCCATCGGTGATATTTTCATCAGAAGAATTTTCAAATTTATTAATATCATTTGCATTAACAAGAATATATCCATTTTCTCTTGCAAGAATTGAAATTTCATCAAGGTCAGGGTTTTTCAAATTGTTCATTAATAAATCATATTCGTTTTTATCAATCATTATATTATCAGTCTCCATTACTTTTTTATTCAGGTATTCGGTAGTTGGATGTTGAATTAAATTTTGTAAATCGTTAAAATCATCATTTGATAAAACTGTTAAATTTAATTTTTTGGCCATTTTAGCGACAGAGCTATTATCGAATGCATCGTTTTCAATTATATCATCAATACTATATTCTATTTCAGGGACTCTGTTATCCTTTTGAACTTCATCTTCTTTTACTGCTTTATAGCCTAGTTTTGATAAAGTTGATTGCAAAAAGTTTAAAGTAGGATTGTTTAAATTGTGAAGTTCATCCTTTGAGATCAAAACTTTATCAAATTTTTGTGATTTTTCAATTAAATAATTTTCAGATGGGAACTCCCATTCTCTGATATTTTCCAAATTACCATTATACTCCTTTAAAGGGATGATTTTATTACCTTGTTTTTCAATTGCTATTATCATTTCTTCGATATTCATTTTAGTTTCACTTCCATATGTGGATTCCATGTCACTATTAGAATTGAAAACCAAATCTTTATTTCGTTGATCAGATTTATTTAATGTATCATTTTGTTGAATAATTTTTTCATTCAATTGGGTGTTCTGTTCTTTAAGGTCGGATATTAGTTTATTTAAATTTGTAAATTCATTCTGGTAATTTTCAGTTAATGATTTATTTTCATCTATTAATTTATTATATTTTGATTCGTATTGATTTAATTTTTTTGATTTTCTTTCAATTTCACCTTGTAATCTTCTACATTCTATAAGTAGGTTATCGCTTAAATCCATTACGAAGTTCATATTGTCATTGCCATTATTTACATTATCTGCAAACATACTTCCTGTGGAGGTTCTATCTCTTTTAGATAAAATTGTTGAGAATGAGAAATGTCTATTTTTGAAGTTATTATTATTAGTGGTATTACTTGTATTACGGGTTTCAGCGGTAGACTGATTTATTCCATGAATTTTTTTTTCATTATCTACAATGTTTTGGAATTGATCATTTACTTTTTCATTGATATCATCTAGAGCAGCCGCTGCAAAGTTGGTCTTTTTTGATTTTGTCATTTTATCTCTATTATATATATATTATGTCCCAAAAATGTCAATTATGATAGAGAGTGATTAATTAATTAATTAATTGATTGATTTACAATGAATGATTCAAAAAAAGGTAACTATGTCTAGATTAGATTTGATTTGATTGATCTGTGGTAACTTGATAGTATGTGAACAACGGATATAGTTAGTTAGTTTCTAATATATTATATTATATTATATTATATTATATTAATATATAAGTTTTGAATGGAGGCCACGATATAAATCAAACACCAAAATCTATTTTACTTTTATTAATTTTGCAATTATATTTGGTGGTGGTGGTTGTGGTTGATTTTCGTTGTATCTGATTGTAATTGTAATTGTGATTGAGGTAGTGATGGTAATGTTAATCAGTAGGGTGTATGTGTAACAAAGGGGAAATGATGGAATGGGGAATGTATCTATACAAAGGTTAAACGAAACTCAAGATTCTTAAAGTCCAATGTGTGGTAAAGAATAGAAAGAACAGGTGGATCAATAAAGTTAAAACAATGAGATCTCGCTTTTGTGTTGCAGTCTAATTGTTATTCTATCGATCACTTTATTTTTTTTTATTTTATTTTGGGTAACATCATCATGTGTTTTACCGACAGAATCCATAGAAAAAACAAAACAAAACACGAACAAATAGCAGAGTGCCAGCCAAATCGAGATCTATAATTAAAAATAGTAGTGTAATTGATCTAGTAAGTCAGTGTCCCCGTGCAAAAGAGAGGGCTAACTAAGTTTTGTATGTAGAAAAATAAAAAAAAAACATAAAAATAAAATATAACAACAGGCAAATGTCAATTACCTATTTAGGAAAACCTAACAAAATATTAGTTTTGGATCAAAGTCAGGGTAAAATGCATTGCAACTTGCAAATGTAATTGTAATTGTAAATGCAAACGCAAACGCAAACGCAAACAATGCAATAGTATGAAAGCATATCTGTTATTACCAAAAGAGAAATGGAGCAAACATGAAGTGAAGTGAAACGACAAAATTGTGTTGTTTATATATGACTTGAAATTTGTTCAATTTGTATATTATATTATATTATATTATGTGACATACGATCTTACTACTGGTGTGTCTCATTTAATACTTTTATTTGCTTAATTAATTTTGTGTCACAAAATTAATTAAGCAAATAAAACAACTTACCCGGACGTAAAATGTATCCACACACACACATTAGCCGCCCAGTCACAGACATATCACTCTCTCCCTTTTCTCCCCTGTTCCGAAAACACTCGCACGCACGCACCCATGCCCACCCAACCATTTCTCCACCATCACCTCCAACGACAGCACATCCTCCCTCTGCCTCCCTCTGCCCCCTCCCATCTCCCAACAAAACTCACATCCACCTCGACTCAACTCATCCCATCCCGTCCCATCCAGAACCCTAACCCACTTCCCGTACTTCGCATTAGGGCACGCCCACCTGTGACCATTCCCCCTACCAACCAAAAGCCGCATCTGCTTTGCACAGCACAAACAAAAAAAGAATCCAAATTAAATTCGCTTTGGTTCGTCACAACTGTCCAACCCCTTTTTTTTTAATTTGCATCTCCCTGTGTTTTTCTCTTTTTCGACATCGACAACAACGAACTATCCTAACTTTCCCACCAAAACATGATCTGATTGGCTGGCCGATGATTAATTGGCATCTTCACCAAACCAAACCAAACCAAACCAGAACAATACACTTTGTATACTTGTTTGTATTACACTAACTCAAACAACAAACACCAAGAAAATTAATTACCTCTTAACTACACTCATACCTTACCTTACCTTACCACATTGAACCATCCCAATTGCTTTGCATGGCGTCTCTCTGAGCCTGTCAAACAGGTTTGCACTTCCACTACAACTTCCCATCCCCAGTAGCCTATACAATACATACACTATTAAATCTCAAGAAATCATCAAATGTTTCAATTACTATTGGTATAACCCAATCAACTTACACTTCACACTCACTCATATATATATATATATACTGACATCTTGTTCTTACAAAGGACACTTTTACTTCTCTTCCTTATAGTCTTGCTCCAAAGTCTCTTCTACTCTGATCCCTTTTCTCCCTCACTTAAATATCTTCTCTCTCTGCCCCCCTCCCTCTCCTCTATCCTGCCCAAGTTTAGCTTACTCGATACTTTTATATTATACTATATTCCATTATATTATATAAAAAACACACCAAAGTATTAAATTAAACACCTGCCTCGAATCGTATAAATAATTGACGGTCGGTATTTACAAAAATCATAAGAAAACTAATTTATTCTACTTTGTAGCTACAACTCAATTTATCTGTCTATTTATTTACAGTTGACATTGTTGTTGCATATTCATTAATAATAATAATAAGAAGAAGAATTTTTTAGGTTATCGTTGCATTTATTTAATTATTTTTTTTTTTTTTCGAGAATTCTGTTTTGATATTTGAGTCTTTCAATTAAAGGAACCAATTCAAATTAAAAACAAAATTTAGAAAGAATAGGAATCAATTTGTGCTATTCCAATACTTAAACTTTTATAGAAGGTTTCAATTCATTCCCCCCCCCCCCCTATCCTTCTGTTATATATATAATTATCCCATACATATATATATTTACAGATTAACAAAAGACATTTGTGATCAGAAAGAAAGCAAAAAAAATTAAAATAAAATTAAAACAAAACTAAACTAAACTAAATTAGTAAAAATATAAAACGAAAAAAATGTTGTCCAAACAATCTGTTAGATCAGCTACAAGAAATACATCTGTTTTGAAAAGAGCTTTACGTACCACCACCCCTTTGTTAAATTCATCTTCGATTAGTCAGAATCAAAACGCTAACGTATCCCAAAGATGCTACTCTTCTTCGATTTTAAGTAATAACAAGCTCTCAAAAGATTTATGGTTACAAAAATCTCGTCTATGGAGAGTCACTGAAAAACGTTGGGAATCCACCATGGTAAAGGTACCACCAATGGCAGAATCATTGACTGAAGGTGCTCTAAAAGAGTATACCAAAGCTGTCGGTGATTTCGTCACTCAAGATGAATTACTAGCTACCATCGAGACTGATAAAATTGACATCGAAGTTAACTCTCCAGTCACAGGTAAAGTCACTAAATTATGCTTTCAACCAGAAGATACAGTCACTGTTGGAGACGAATTAGCAGAAATTGAACCTGGTGAAGCTCCTGCTGGCGGTGCTGCTAGCACCGATTCAGCTTCAACTCCAGCTCCAACCCCATCCCCAGATGCTGGTAAAGAAATCCCAGTCGTTAAAACCGAGGCTCCAAAACCAGAAATTAAAAAGGAATCTCCACAGCCTGCAGCTCCAAAGGTTGCACAACCAGCTGCTTCTTCCCCAACCCCTGCCGCTGAATCCTTAACCAGCTTTTCTCGTAGTGAACACAAGGTTAAGATGAACCGTATGAGATTGAGAATCGCTGAAAGATTAAAGGAATCCCAAAATACAGCTGCTTCTTTGACTACATTCAATGAAGTCGATATGTCTGCAGTTATGGAAATGAGAAAGTTATACAAAGATGAAATTATTAAGACCAAAAACATTAAATTTGGTTTCATGGGTTTGTTTTCAAAAGCATGTACTTTAGCCATGAAGGACATCCCAACTGTAAACGCTGCTATTGAAAATGATCAAATTGTCTACCGTGACTATACTGATATCTCAATTGCTGTTGCTACACCAAAGGGTCTAGTTACCCCAGTTGTTCGTAACGCAGAATCCCTATCTGTCCTAGGTATGGAACAAGAAATTCTACGTCTAGGCCAAAAGGCCCGTGATGGTAAATTAACTTTAGAAGATATGAGTGGCGGTACTTTTACTATTTCCAACGGTGGTGTCTTTGGTTCTCTATATGGTACTCCAATTATTAACATGCCACAGACTGCTGTTTTGGGTCTACATAGTGTTAAACAGAGACCAGTTACATTGCCAGATGGCACCATTGCTTCAAGACCAATGATGTATTTGGCTTTAACTTACGATCATAGATTACTAGATGGTAGAGAAGCTGTTACCTTTTTGAAGACTGTTAAAGAATTGATCGAAGATCCAAGAAAGATGCTTTTGATGTGAGTTGATGTAAATTAAGACATATTACAAAAACTTCGTTAATTCGTATATATATATATTCTTTATCTTCCCTCCTCCACCTCCATCCACTTTTCTACAACAATTGGGTGCCATATTTTAATATTCCATATTCCATGTTGTCTCTATTCGCACGATTAGTCTGTCTTTATTGAACTCATAATTTTACAAGGAATATTTATATTGCTTGTACTATATGAAACCTGCAGTATATGGTTGTTTTTTTTATTCACAAGTCATTCTAAATATCCTTTGACAGATATGGTCTGTGAATGAGATAGCATCGTCTTTAATTTTTATGAGATTTTATAACAAATGAACTATTTATTTATCTATTTATTTACTTATAATGCCAAAAGTTTGTACATATATAATCTAGTTAAAAAAATTATATATACATAAGGTTTAAATGTTTGGTGTGTTTTTTCTTCAACTAATTTAAACTTAATATTTACATTCCTATTTCATTCTAGCTGACATTATATATAATCATGTTTGATAAGTTAATAAAAATTCAAGAATTTATTGAAGAATATGGTTATAAAAATCTAGATATCACATATCTCCATTATTACTTCTGTTGGTATGGATCCTTTTCCCTATGATGTCCCAATCCAGGCAAAACATGATCTTATCAAGAAAAGCTCTCTCCTAGAAATGCTCTGTAACGAATATGAAATGATTCAACCCTTAACTAGCTGTAGAGATTGTCTCATTTTTAAAGACATTTAATGTGTATCTCTAGATCTCAGAGATCTGAAACAAACTTAGTTCTATCCTTGCTTGTCAACATCGTTTGAGTACTCAAGTGGTCTGACGTAAATAAATAATTCCAATAATGGTAATACTGTTAGTCACGTGATTAATTAAACAAATTCGGTATTTTCCCGCTTTGGGTATAAGGTAAATATATCGAATGCTGTATAAAAATAACTTGAGGAAGAAAAATATTTATTTTCAAAGTAGAAACTTTTTTGATCTGTTAGTCGAACCAGTACAAGAAGAGACTGTTTTTAATATGATAATGAATGTTTGTTGAAGTTTATTAGAATATTTGGATTCTGGATTCGAAATTAGTTTTAGTCTAATTCATTAATCAAAATTATTTATATACCTCATTGATAATTTTTTTACTATTTGATATAAGAGATTAGGAGACTGGCATAGATAATTTAAAGACACATTGGAATAAGACATAGATTTGAAGGGGGAACTTCAAGTGTCTCAACAAAAACATAGGTTACAAAACAATAATTCAGTCAAATAATTAATAAATAATAATAATAATAATTAATATTCATAATCAAAAGATCAATACTATACATTTAATAACAAGAGATTCCAAGTATTTTTTAATATTTTAAATACAATAGGACAATGGATTCAGAAAGGTGGAATATCAACCCTTCTGATATATTGAAAAATGTAGATAATAGAAATAAATTATATGATGGAGAAAATCATTTCAACAAACAATTGGAGTATTCAGCGATCGACGATATTTCAAATAAAAATGACGGATTTGACTACGGATTAGATCTAAATTATGATGAAATGGACAAATTGTTGACTCAAGAATTGAATGGTTTGGATATCCCAATGATTCCTGATACTGATGAGAATAAATCAAATAAGAAAGACAATTTTGGTTTAGGAGATTTTGATTGGAATCAATTACAGTTAAATTTCGGAACTGTTAATATTGAGACTGGCAGTAATTCAAACGATCTGATTACAAATAATAAACATAAAAGAGGTCAAAGCGGAACTGCTATCTTTGGTTTTGCTAATCATAACAAAACCTTAAGTATATCCAGTATCAAAAAAAATTATACTCCAAGAAACGACATTAACGAAAATGAATACCCAAAAGACTTTAATGAACTAGAATACAGCTATCCGGCCTCTAAAAACAATGGAAGTAACGATGAAGAATCAACTCAATTAGGGAAAACTTTGTTGAAACAGCAAGAAGAACTTCGTATGGCTCTGGAAAAACAAAAGGAAATGAACATGAAATTGGAGCAACAATTATTAGAAAATCGCTTACAACAAGAACATCTTCAGAATGCCTTGTTGAAACAAGAAGTTGTTACAAACCAATTGGTTACTGAAACAAAAGTGAGTACACCTTTCAAAAATACACCTTCACCCCAAAAGATGTCACCACAACGACATGATATAATTATAACCTCCAATTCAAAATCTGGCAGTTACCAATTTCCACCACAATCAATGATTTCACCTCCAATGTCAAATGCATCCTTCAATGGATCTCCTTCTAGAAAATCCAAATATAAACCTTCTGAAAATGGATCTGGTAATCATTTCTTAAGTGAACACAATAACCTATTAAATAGTGGCTACCATCAAGATTATTTGAAACCGCCAATTAATACAATTAGTTTGAATACACCTAATTTACTTACAAATAGTGGGAAAGGTTATTACGGTTCTTCTAGATTTTCATCGCCATCACATAGGAAAAAAGATTCAACGATTTCCACAGTTTCCACCATTCTGCAACACCATGATGATGATGTGAGTGACTCAGATTATCATGAGACTGTTGGTTTGGGAATACAATTAATGTCAGGAAACAAGCCAAAGGATTCTAAATCTGTCATTTCAAATTCGTTACAAGTGGACAAAATGCCAACAATCCCAGGTTCAACAAGTAATACACCGATAGGCAAAAATATATTTCCTCAAAAGCAGACATTTCATCATACCCCAACTAAGGCCAATATTGATTTGAAAAATGATAGATCCGATAATATATTTAATGATTCTTCTTCAGTATCATACTTAAATCCACCTATACTTTCATTGAACAATGAAAGGACGCCTAATAGACGAAATAGCGATCATAGTATTGAATTTCCAGAACCTGATAGTAGCTATTATGGTAACATACCAAGGCCAGAAAATCATTTTAAATTTGTGGAAACACCATCTCCTGTATTAAAGTTCTTTGATGATAAATCCCCTCAGCATGAATCGAATGATAATCAGAATAGTCAGAATAGCAGTCCGACTAAAATCACTCGAAAATTGACCACATTACCTCGTGGGACCATTGATATATATGTCAAAGAATTATCAGAACGGGCATATGAGTGTTTGTATCCTAACTGTCACAAGATATTCAAAAGACGTTATAATATTAGATCACATATTCAAACGCATTTGAAAGATAGACCCTATATATGTGATTTCCAAGAGTGCAATAAATCGTTTGTGAGGAATCATGATTTAGTAAGGCATAAGAAATCTCACTCAAAAAGGAAATTAATATGTGTGTGTGGTAAAAAGTTCAATAAGGAAGAAACATACCTCGCTCATAAATCTAAGAAGAATTGCAATGGGCAATATAAACAGGATAAAGCTATTGTTAAAAAATCTCCAGTAAAAGGTCCTGGTAGTGTTAACAGTAGTCCTGTAAGGGATAGTATAAAAAAGGATTCTACTGGTTATGTAACATATAAAATGGAAGAACAATTAAGAAATGAGATGACGAAGCATGGGTTACTACAGCTGCCACATAATATGGCGATGAATGGTCCTCATATCATGTTATCTCCATCCCTATCCTCTGGGGCAAGTGATCTGGGATCACCATTGGGAGGAAGGTTAGAGCTTTCATAAACAAACTAAATTGAAAATTGTTTAAAGGTAATATTCAATTTCAATTGTAATATTAAATATAGCTACAAATATATAAAAGACTTATTTTATTAATTAATTAATTTTCAAAAATAAATGAACATCATTGTTGAGTAATCTGGTAGTACATATCTATAGATATCAAGGATCTAATGTAAGGTTTTTTTTTTGTCAACTAGGTATTGGTGGGTATCAAGTAATGGTAATTTCAATAAAAATAAATGTTGTTAATTTAATCTCTACAACAGAAGTGGCAATAATAGCAAAAGAAACTTCGTCATCATCTGAATAGATAATATATAAATGGCAGTTGGAATAAATATAATAATACTCGTAACAATAGTATAGAGCCTAATCAAATAATATTGAAAATATGACTTGACTTGGAGACAGACGTTTTGATATTGGACAGACACTTCTCATTGATCTCATTTATATGAATTCAATTTTTGATAGCGAGATAATTAGTCGGTAGTTACGTAGGGTAATACTTAAAGGATTTTGACAAATTTGAATCACGTGATGGTGAAAATTCTATTAAGACAGTGATTTTTATGTTGATATAAATTTGAGATGAGGTAAGAAGAGATGAGATGAGATGAGATGTGAAGATATGTTATTGTTGCAATTAATCATATATTTAAAAGGTTTTTACAGAATATTTTTATTACTTCTGTCACTCAAAGAACTAACTAATAGTATTGTAAAAATGTCTAATGCAGATGATTTAGATGACGGTTTGGTATATGATTATGAATCAGCTGGAGAAATTACTGAAGAAGTTTCAGAAGATAAAAATATAGAGAATACAATCGATGAAGCCACCAACACATCTGAAAAGAAAAGACCAATAGAAGATGATATTCTAGAAGAGGAAGAAGAGAAACTTTCGAAGAGACAGAAAAAATTGAGAAAATCTAAAGTTCATGAAAAGAGAAAGGAACAAGCTATTTACCTTGAGGAAAAATTGAAAAGTATTCCAAAAGGTACTAATGAAGAAATTTCAGATTACTTTACAACTCTAATACGTGAAAAGAATCCAGATTTAAGTGCATTAGAACTTGAGGATATCTATCTGAAGAAAACAGATTTTATCTCGACTGCAAAATTTGCAGATAAAGATCGTAACTTGACTAATTTTCCAGAATTTATGTCACAATTCTCGAAGTCTCCAAAAGCTATCATTTTTTCAATGTCAAACATTAGAGTTGCAGATGTCCATAGAAGTTTGAATGGTAATAAAACTTCAGTAAAATTATTTGCCAAGAACAAATTGAAGGAGGATATCGACATGGTAGCTAATGTCCTAGGTGAAAATAACAAAAAATTTAAAAATCTAAAATATTTTATCACTACGCCAACACGTATGGAAAAGTTGCTTGAAAACACAGATTTATTCTATGCAGGTAAGGATAAACTAGATATAATTCTTGACGCTAGCTATTTAGACCCAAAGAAGAATTCTTTAATTGCATCAGAGAATACTGCCCTTTTATGTAAGGTACTCAAAAAGATTTTAGATAATAAGAGTTCTGTCAAAATATTACTTTATTAGAATAAGAGGATTTATATTTTATTAATCATGTATAATTACATTAAAAATGATAAAAAATCTATATTTTGTGTATATATACGGAAAGTCATTACAGTATTTAAAATGGTTTCTTTATTGTTAGTTTTCTCATTAATTTTGTTGGCTTACGAGATAAAAGTGATGAGCTTGAGTTTGATGATCTCATCTTACCTTTTAACTGGTTTACAGTTTCAGCAGGTTTATCATAATCATCCATTATTGTATTTCTTCTTGAAGGCTTACTTGGTATGCTTCTTCCTTCTGAATAATGATTTATATCGGAAAATCTATCTGTCTGTGACCGTTTTTGCTCATGAATTAAATTTTCATTACTTACAATATTGATTGAATCCCTATTCTGATTAAGAACAGAACTTGAGGGTAATTGTTTAGTTTTTATTTGCTTGAATATTTGAGAAACGGGTTTTAGGTATATTGAAGCAATAGAGCCAATATTTAATTCTAATTCTTCTAATATCGCAGGATCTAATTTTGTATTTAATTCGATCAATGGCAATTCCCCATCGACAATATCTTTAATTACTTCAACATTAATTTCACTTTTTGGAGACTGTAATAATGATAATAATCTCCAGTACATGAACGCTCTATCTCTTAAATCAGGATTATCAATTTCTTCTGTGCAACACTTCAATATTTCAATACAAAGAGCTTCTGTCTCTTTTGATATATTTCTAGCAAAAAATTTAACTGAGGAATTCAAAATTGAAAATTGAACTTCTAGTGTTTCTTCCAAAATATGAGAAGAAAATACTCTGAAATATTCTAAATATTCAGGTAATATATCAGCATAATTGGTAATAATCCAGATCATAGCATTTTTAGAATCGGACTCATGAATGGAATCAGTGTAGGATACCAACGTACTTATCTGAGATTTATACTGATCTTGATATTTTCTTAAAATATTCCTGAATACAGATATTATTTCTTCCACAACATAATCTACACCAAATTCTAGTAAGTTTAACAAGGTATTAACACACTCATCGGCTGAATTTTCATCCAATTTTACTGCTAAATTCCCGATTGCTCTTATAGCTTTTCTTGACATTTGAATGTCAATATCTGTTGCATACTGCTCCAACTCTTCTAAAATATTATGTAAATTGTCCTTATTTGCTAATAAGTATAAGCATTCTAACTTTGTATCTTTTATATAAATCGGATCATTGTATTCAACAAAAAAGTATGAAACATCCAAATTTAAAATAAGGGATTCTCTGCTTAATAGTAATAAAATGACATTTCTCAAAACTAAAAATTGTAATTCAGGAGGTTTGTTCAATAAGGCAATAATGGAAGAAGATAACTTTTTTGATAAATTATCAGAAATATGATCAACATAATTGGTAATATAGATAATAAATTTCAATGCATTTAGGGCGACATAAGTATTGACATGTTGTAGTTGTGGTTCTACCATGTCTATCAGATCATAGGCATCATTGTGAGTTTGCGGCACACATACACAAATTAATGATTCCAAAAGTAGAGCCTTATCCCACTCATTTAATTTTGGCAAAATAGTTAACAAATCATAAGATGCATCAACAGTCAGATTAAGGTTCGGAAGTGACAAATTTTTCTCATGAATTGTATATAAAGTATTCAAGGCAGCAACTTTAACAGAATTGATCTGGTGATCTCCACTTATTATATCTCTTAGACTATCTAACAAAGGTAATGCTCTGTCATGATTTATGTCGTCCAATTGTGTTAATGCAAAAATAGAAGTTTTTAAAACATCACTGGAAGAAGAACGACGATTTATTATTCCAGAGACAAATCTAAAAGCTTCATCTACATAATCTGGAGATGGGACCATAAGAAGAGTTTTAATTGCCATTATTTGTAAAGCAGGATTTCTATTATCTAAATCTTTCAAAATATAAGGCAAAGCATCATTTGCATTTTTAGGCTTGGAAGGTCCTAGTTTTCTAATATATTCATGACAAATTCTTCTTACCTCTATATCATCTTCAATTTTCCAATAATTTATAATTTCGGGAAATAAATAAGACATCTCATTTAAATTGCCCATTGTTAAGTTTGCTATAATTTTTCTTAAAGCATTCTTCCTTTTCATGGCATTTGATTTGAATTTTTTGACTTCAACATTTTGAAACTCTGCTTTGATTTCATCAGCCCTGTACCTTGTAAAGATCCTTTGATCTGACATTATTAAGACTTAATACCCCTAGATCCCTTTAAAAGTCAAATAGTGGATTACTCTGATAAAGAATATATAATAGCTTGTTTGATCAAACGATGATCTATTTTTGTTCCAAATAAAATGAAAAGAAAGCAACTTAAATTGATACCCCGATTATAATTGATATCTAGTCACCAAGTTCATATGGATTCGGTAACTCTTTCGAGCTAGCTTTAGATCAGACCAAATTGATAAATTCCATTGTAAGAGCTTAAACAATATTTCAATATGCTTATTTATGATATAAAAGAGCCTTTCGTCAATAATTACTAACTTTTATCGCTTAAATGCCACATACCATCTAAGATAGATCTGGCTATACAATTGTAAATATATTCTAGTAATTGTTCAAATAACTAGAATAATATTTGATTATATCTCTAGTGTTTTTGGATAATAAAAATTCAATAGCATAATGTCGATATTAGAAGATCATATACCAGATATGTGTTTTTTTTCAGGTACGACACTTAAAATAGAAATAATATTTGCTTCAGTCTTGACAAGGTATTGAAATCTTCTTTTGTTTTACTGAAATAGATACTATAATGGTAGATATCTTTATTAAGTAATGATTATGTACTTTTATATTTCCATTGATCTAGACCTTAATCGCTATATATAAAGGTATATCTCATTGACACCATATATTTTTATAGGTTTTGCCTAATTAGGCAATTGTTATGGTCACGTGATATAGGTGAACATGGATTGCTTTTTACCAATTTTTTTTTTTTTTCTTTTTTTCATATTTTTGTAAAGAAGCACACTGAAAAATTTCAAAGCTCATCTCATCTCATCTCATCTCTCAATGATAAAGTTGAATCAAATCTTTCTTAGTTTCGATATATACTTCTAAATTGTATAAGTTTGCTTAAAGTACATTATCAATTATCAGTTGTATACAAGTAGTTGTAAAATTTGGAATCACTGGAACTTTGATTATCTTTTTAAGAGTTCAAGGTAGTGGATATTTAGAAATAAAAGCTAACTGAAAAAATGAGAATTTATCAATGTCATTTCTGTTCCTCTCCAGTTTATCCTGGTCATGGTATTATGTTTGTTAGAAACGATGCTAAAGAATTCAGATTTTGTCGTTCTAAGGGTCATAAAAACTTCAAACAACGTCGTAACCCACGTAAATTAAGATGGACTAAAACTTTCAAAAAATCTGCTGGTAAAAAATGGGCAGTTGATTCTACATTGAACCTTTGCACAAAAAGAAATGTCCCTGGAAAGTATAACAAAAATTTGGTTCCCACTACCTTGAAGGCAATGTCCGAAATAGAGGAATTTTGCCCGATACTGGGAAAAACCCTTCTTATAAACAAAATGGAAGGTAATAAAAAAGGAAACTTCTGAAAGAAAGAAAATGGGTTAATCTCACCCTGAATGTTAAAAATGAAAGAATTGAAATTTCTAATGCTTTGCTAAGAAACAAAAAGAAAAAATATATTTCGAGGGAAGAGAAAAAAAATGTAATTGTTCCTAAAAAAAAAAAGACAATGGGAACACTATATTTT